AATCAATGTCACAACGGTGTTATTGCGCGGAAGAATCTTCAGAGGAGAATACCTCTATGACCTGGGCTGTCAGTACCCAGTACTGCATAGGGCACAGGTGAACAGCACTGTCTGCATCCATGTGAGGATAGAGTACAAAGATGTTAGGAGCGGTCTCCCTCAGAACTGCTACAGTGAGTACCTCCAGCTTTTTATAGCCAACAGAAGTCCTAACCTACCATGATTCAAGTGTCACCAACCAGAAAAGAACAAATGTATTATGAACCATCGTTTTCTCAGCACTCTAGGCCTTACTAGATCTCCTATTACATCTATTGTAAACCAAGACTGACTTCACAGAAACCAATAAAACAACAGAGAATTGGAGTTGCCATGATACTGGTTAGAACGTAATTGATAAGGTATCAATGTATTGTAAACCAAGACTGGCTTCACAGAAACCAATAAAACAACAGAGAATTGGAGTTGCCATGATACTGGTTAGAACGTAATTGACAAGGTACCAATGTATTGTGAACCAAGACTGGCTTCACAGAAACCAATCAAACAACAGAGAATTGGAGTTGCCATGATACTGGTTAGAACGTAATTGACAAGGTACCAATGTATTGTGAACCAAGATTGGCTTCACAGAAACCAATAAAACAACAGAGAATTGGAGTTGCCATGATACTGGTTAGAACGTAATTGACAAGGTACCAATGTATTGTGAACCAAGACTGGCTTCACAGAAACCAATCAAACAACAGAGAATTGGAGTTGCCATGATACTGGTTAGAACGTAATTGACAAGGTACCAATGTATTGTGAACCAAGATTGGCTTCACAGAAACCAATAAAACAACAGAGAATTGGAGTTGCCATGATACTGGTTAGAACGTAATTGACAAGGTACCAATGTATTGTGAACCAAGACTGGCTTCACAGAAACCAATCAAACAACAGAGAATTGGAGTTGCCATGATACTGGTTAGAACGTAATTGACAAGGTACCAATGTATTGTGAACCAAGACTGGCTTCACAGAAACCAATCAAACAACAGAGAATTGGAGTTGCCATGATACTGGTTAGAACGTAATTGACAAGGTACCAATGTATTGTGAACCAAGACTGGCTTCACAGAAACCAATAAAACAACAGAGAATTGGAGTTGCCATGATACTGGTTAGAACTTAATTGACAAGGTACCAATGTATTGTGAACCAAGACTGGCTTCACAGAAACCAATTAAACAACAGAGAATTGGAGTTGCCATGATACTGGTTAGAACGTAATTAACAAGGTACCAATGTATTGTGAACCAAGACTGGCTTCACAGAAACCAATCAAACAAAAGAGAATTGGTAAGCTGTAACAAGCCACTACACTGTAACAAGCCACCACACTACACTAGAACTGCTGTAAATATTACGTAGCAGGATATATAGACCGTGTTACCTGATACCCACCGCGGATCTCCGGGTTCCCCTTATAACTCTTCATCGCCGCGGTGGAGAAAGATGGTCCGGGAACAGCGTAGCTCTGTCGTTCTCTCCCCTAGCTTCCCCTTTTTAAAACTATTCAATTGACATTACAGTCAAAGTTAAATCATACGAGCACATTTTACATTCAATAAGAGGGAAACACAACTCGAAACGTCGAGAGAATAAAACATTTATACTATCAGAAGTGTTTTTGATATTTAAGAACTAGGAATGCTGGCCAGGAAACCTCTTATCTTCAAGAAAGGGAAACAATAAGAATATGCAAAATTATATACAGTCAAGGAAGCTTCCTTAAATCTAAATAGAGTCCGCCTTCGGAAAATCAGAGTTCTTTGTTATCTCTTCTCACCTCAAAATTCAGGAAAAACTTATTGATGGACTTTTTTGTTGACGCAAGAATGGCATTGCCATCCATCCTTTGTCCGAAGAGCCAGTCTTACATGTCAATTACCAATTATTTTATTTCCAAAGCGCTATATCCCGCAAGGGATACTTGCGCCAAACAAGGAGAAAAGTTTATTTACATAAGTTATTTACATTATTCAACGCATGAAAACATTATAGATCCAGATTTTGTAGAAAGTTTAGAATGTATTTACAAAATGAATTGAACTTTAAATATGATTTTTTATCGGAAATCAAATCGTTAAGTTCACAAACAACTAGTTCATTCTTCATTCTATAATCTTGAAATGCTGGGCAATCGATCAGTAGATGTCTTGAGGTTTATTCCTCAATACCACAAAAGCAACTTGAATCCTCCACTGCCTTTATTCTATTTAAAAAACTTTTCAAATTTCCGTGGTTTGTAACAAATTGATAATTATAAAAATTTGGACGAAAGTATTTAAAAAAGTATTATTTGCTTCGTTTTTCCGAACATTCATTCTTGATTTGAGAAAGGTATCTATAATTCCTGGAATGTCGGGTGTCGATTTTGAAGGCCTCTTGGTTGAGAGATCCGACGCAGTGGCATGATCAGCATCGGTGGGCCATCACTATATCACTGCAGTCACAGGCTATGCAGAAATCCCGGAAAGAGGCTGATTATGCAGGGTGAAGATGAGCCAAAAAAGCTGCCGTGTCTGCATCGTTCCCCGAGTAGCAACAACGCCTAAGTGATTCGATGAAGGTAGCGAGTAAAATTACACTCATAGACAAAAGTTAAGGAAGTTGTGTACATTTTATCATGTATATCGGGATTCAGACAATAACTCTGAAAGATACACTCATGGACAAAACTTGAGGAATTTGTACCTTATAGCATGTATATCGGGATTCAAACAATAACTCTGAAAGATACACTCATGGACAAAACTTGAGGAATTTGTACCTTATAGCATGTATATCGGGATTCAAACAATAACTCTGAAAGATACACTCATGGACAAAACTTGAGGAATTTGTACCTTATAGCATGTATATCGGGATTCAGACAATAACTCTGAAAGATACACTCATGGACAAAACTTGAGGAATTTGTGCCTTATAGCATGTATATCGGGATTCAGACAATAACTCTGAAAGATACACTCATGGACAAAACTTAAGGAAGTTGTACCTTTTAACATGTATATCGGGATTCAGACAATAACTCTGAAAGATAGACTCATGGACAAAACTTAAGGAAGTTGTACCTTTTAGCATATATATCGGGATTCAGACAATAACTCTGAAAGATTGACTCATGGACAAAACTTAAGGAAGTTGTACCTTTTAGCATATATATCGGGATTCAGACAATAACTCTGAAAGATAGACTCATGGACAAAACTTGAGGAATTTGTGCCTTATAGCATGTATATCGGGATTCAGACAATAACTCTGAAAGATACACTCATGGACAAAACTTAAGGAAGTTGTACCTTTTAACATGTATATCGGGATTCAGACAATAACTCTGAAAGATAGACTCATGGACAAAACTTAAGGAAGTTGTACCTTTTAGCATATATATCGGGATTCAGACAATAACTCTGAAAGATATTACAGTGACCTTTATTGAAGACACGAGATAACCAAGTGGAAACAACCTCTGTCTCCTTGGGAAAAAAAAAAAAAATAGACCACCGGAGACATCAAAGAAATTCCACTTTCTTAAGTTTTGTTTATGAGTGTAGACCAAGCGAAATTTTACATTTCTATACTTAAATACATATTGTTACGACGCTTCTCAGCCGTCGATGTTTGCGTTCAAGGTTTACTGAGAAGACAATGTGAGTTCGTTTAGGATACAGCTTAGTGCGGTATATTTATTATAAGAACTTAAAAAGGGATATTAATAACTATACATGGGAGATAAACACTTGCCTTTAATGCCGCCCCAGGTAGGTTTCTCCTCGTCCTCCACTTGTTAATCCACACAGTCCCTGAAGGAGCCCCTCATACATGGGAGGTAAACATTTGCCTTCCAAAGCCGTTCCAAACTGTTCTTTTCTCGCGCGCGCGTGCTCGCGCGGGCGTGCCTTGCCTCCCTTGGCTTTCCCACTTCTTCTCTTCTACTTTTCTGCATCGCTTCACTATATTGGATTTAAAAATAATTTATTTACCATTATTTCGGTAGGTTGAACGTAAACCTTTATCAATTCACAACAATTTATTTGTTTTGTATAAGTTAACCCAGTGCCACGTGACGTTATACTCTATTTTTGACGCTTATGATTCTTTTAAAATAAATCAATTTTCTTCTGTCCTAACTGCAATAATAAAATAATGGAAGGGTGAGGACTGATGTATCATCTTACAAAGCAATAACGCGCCATATAACGAATGAAGACATTAAGACTCGAATGTTTCATCGTAGTAAGGACAGTAAAAGTTTGATTTATTTATGAAAAGAAACATTCGCGTCTTAATGTCTTCATTTGTTAGATATATATGGCGCGTTGTTACTTTGTATTAAAGATTATCAAAATTCGAAATTATTATAGACGCGTATGATTATTTTAAAAATAAAACAATTTCTACTGCCCTTACTATCTCCGGCTTATGGACCTTCGAGGTCTGGGTAGCCATTACTGCTCCAGAGATGCCCTAACTGCCTACGGCCATACCACATTGAAAACACCGGTTCTCGTCCGATCACCGAAGTCAAGCAATGTCGGGCCCGGTCAGTACTTGGGAGGGTGACCACCTGGGAACACCGGGTGCTGTAGGCTATTACCTTTTTCCCGGCTTGTGGACCTTCGAGGTCTGGGTAGCCATTAC